GTCAGCCCCTTGTTGTTGCTGTGGGGCAGGTCGTAGGTGCCAGGTCCCAGGCCGCTGCCCTGCAGATGTGGGAGGAAAGGCAGCAGGGGCTGTGCTCAGCGGGGGGACAGGGCCACCCCACCAGCGTGTCCCCAGGGCAAGGGGCAGGACTCACCACGGCTGCTGGCAGGGCACGCTGCGGCATTCCACTGTCCATGAGCCCTCGTGTGCTGGCGGAGCGCTTGTCCCTCTCCTCAAGGAGGGTGTAGGGGTTCCCCTGGGGGCCGTACGTGCCAGGGCCAGGGAAACAGTCCTGCAGAGAGGTGGGGTGGCTGTGGGCAGCCTTGGCAAGGGGGACAGTCCCCAGCCCAGCAGGAGGACATGGTGCCCACGGTAGCTCCTCACCCTTGCAAAGGGCTTGCTCTCCAGAGGCACCCACCTGCAGCCAAGTCCCACAGCTGGCAGGCACCATTCCCCAGCATCTCCCGTGCCAGGGTGTGACATACCTTGTGGGCATCTCTGAACCGCCGCTCCCTCGTATCGCAGATCCCCCGGAGGCTGGAGGGCCGTGTCTCCTGCAGAAAGTCCCTGATGTTGTATGTTCCCGGGCCCAGCCTTTCCTGCTGCAGGGGGAGAGCGGGGAGGGTGAGGACAGGGCTGAACGGTGCTGCCTGCACCCCTCGGCCCCAGCAAATGTGCACGGAGGGCAGATGAAACCCAGTTGTTACCTGGCGCTTGCGCCTCTTCATCATCTCCTTGAACTGGAAATGGGGCAGCTGACTAAACTGGGAGCCCTTCTCTGCTCTGACCCAGCCAGAGGCCAGTGCTTTCCCCTGCAACACAGAGCCAGGGCACTGCCATCAGCAGTGCCGGAACTGGAGCATGGGGCTGAACCCATGCTCGGCCGGCTGTGGCTCTGCAGCAGGGTCAAGAGGGGTGGTTAGGGGAGGTGGACATGGGGATCTGCTGCTCCATGTCTCACTCCTCCGTGCTCTGTGTTTGCTGAGCACCAGTAAGGCCCCAGCGAGCTCCGGCATGAGCAGCCCCACATCCCACACTTCCACCCTGGGGTGCTGCCAGCCTGAGCTGGGTGTCCCAGACCATCACATGCAAAAAGTCCCCAAGCAAGAAGCTGCTTCCCAGTGGGCAGAGACAATCTGGGAGGTGATGAGAGCTACACCGGTAAGTCCATCTCTCCCCATGCATCCAGGCAAGCCCAGCCGGTGGCCTCACCTGGCTGCCCATGTCCCCAGGAAGCACCTGCAGCCCCATGCTGGCAGCTCTGGTCCCAGAGGGCTCTGGGGATGGTGGCAGCCCGTGCCATGGCAGCCGTCACCGTGGCACCCAGCATCCCGGTTCCCCAGGGAATGTCCCCTCCCTGGAGCAGACAGGGCCAGCAGGCAGCAGGGTTGAGGCAGGGATCCTGGTTGTAATGGAGGGTCCCAGCCTGGCTAAAGTAACAGATTCAGGGCTCAATCCAACCATTTACCAGGCTTTCATAGGGACAAATTATATCTAAGCTGCTAAAAATAAATTCTTAAAGCAACAACCCAACCTGCCAATCCCACTTTAGGCAATAAAATGATGCTCTGGGTGCTGGTGTCCTCTGTGGTGCTGTATTTGCTGCATCTGTGAGCACTGGTGGGTCTGGGCAAGGCAATCCACATCCATGATCTTTGCAGGGGAAGCTCACCAGCCCCCTTAACACCCATGGCATTTCAGACAAGAGCAAGCCAGGCCTGAGGAAGCCGGTTCCCCTGGCACTGGGCTGCTGTTTGGTGCAGAAAGTGGGGTTTGCTGCCCAGTCCCAGTCATGCTGCTTGCTCCTGTTGCAGGCCGGATGGGATCCTGCTGAGCCATGGCAGCCAGGAGCAGAAGAGGCTGCCCACCTTTAGCAGGACCCTGGCGCTGCTCCAACAAGTCATTGAATCCTCCAACAGCCACTACAGAGATAGGAGACATGGATTATTTCAGCAAGAGGGGAACCCCAAACCCATCTGTGTAAAACCCATCTCTAGTCCCTACACAGGCGTAACTCATGGTGTGGTGCATCCAGCACTGATGGATGCTCTGTGTACCTACATCCAAGGTAGCCCTGAACCTCAGATGATGATATGCGTTCTTCTGATTGATTTAATTACTTTATTTTTATTAGTGTAATTTATTTTCAGAAGTGTTGTCTGCTCATGAGGAACTGTCTGAAAGTACCCAAGAGTTACTCAGGAGCGCCTGCACCTTGGGTAGCTGCCAGGGTGCAGGGGACATGTGGTAATGTTATATCCCCCAATAACTTCATGAGGGGTGAATCCAAGACGAACCCTGCAACTACCACTTCACTGGGCATAAAAACATTGTCCTGCAGCCATGCACTTACAGCAACAACACTGGGGAGGGAATGAAAGTACTCAGGTAAGCTGGTCAGCCAGGCGTGTGAGCCAGCGCTGGGGGCTCACCAACCCTACAGGCTGTGTAAAAGCACATCCAGGGACAGTCAGAATGTGCCACCTGCCTGCACTGAGACCCCAAGCCCAAATGGCAAATCCTCCACAGGATGGAGAGAGGTTCGGCTGCTGAATGGCTTAGCTTCTTGCCTGCCCTGACTTCTCTTCCCTAGCCCCAGCCGGGTGCTACCTGGGGATGCTGCTAGAAAGCAAAAAAGCATTTTCCACCACCCACGGCGATCCAGGACTGTGGCTTCTCTGAGACGGAACCCCTCTCAGCTTTGGCAAGGTGCTACACCCAGCGCTGCTGTACCAGGGACTAATTCGAGACAGCTGCCATCACCTGCTTGGTCCTTCACTCATCTTCCCCCCCATCCTCAGCATTTTTCCCCCTGGAGATGCCCCAGGGCAAAGAAGAAAGGCCCCAGATGGGAGCCGAGACCCTGGGTCCCGCCATGTGCAGGGCACACCCCCTCTCAGGCCACACATTTGGCCTTGATGGCATAAATCAGCCCCCGGCCAAGCAGCAGGCGAGCAGTTCAGTGAAAGGCTGCAAGGACAGCAGTACCTTTATTAGATTCCCCCAGCACAGCTGGAAAAAATAAGGAGCACAGACAGGCTTTCAGGCACATAACCCCTGAGCTTAGCCCTCCATTCAGTCCCGTCTGCTGATTTAATAAGAGATATCAGCTTTCCCCACAGACCGCGTCTCTTGTATGGCCTTAAACCCTCCCGGTTAAAACACCGCCCCAGCGAATCAATCCAAGATGGTTTTGTCCCTTTGATCAGCACAGCAGGCAATAAGTCACTGATGGAAACGTGTTTCACTTCTGTGGCTCAAACAGGCGATAGAAACAGTGAAAGACAACACTCTGGTCCTGAGCCACCTGGCAAAGCCCTTCCACTTCCCGGGCAAGGAGGAGATGGCCAGAGGGCTATGAAGTATGGCACTAGATGTCCTGCAGGAGCCGCAGCTTGGGTGGCAGCCATACTGCACCTGGGCACAGCCAAGTCCTCACTGGGGTCAGCACAGTGTCCGAGGCGCAGGCAGGTCCCCTTCCCGCAGGGAACGGCCCCGCTCCTCTGCCCTCCGAGATAGCCACAGGCAGCGTTTGCATTGGTTGTTTAATTGCAGTGAGAAACACATAGGGAGAAGTAATTGCCTGACAAAACCAGTGAAGGCCGGTCTGGGAGTGAAGTTGCTCCCTGGCAGCCAGGCAATCTGGGCCAGACCCTGGCTCTGGCACCAAGGGACTCCCCCAGCTCCCTCTGGGCAATGTTACAGGATGCTGAGTCACCTCACAGAACTGGCTTGACTGTTTAATTGCTTTAATGCTCATAAATCAATCAAAATGTGTTCTTTAATCCCTTGATTTTGCTCATTTTCAGGCCCCTGTAAGCAGGAGCGCACATTAGTGAGTATTTCGCATTATAGAAGAATCATGAAGATTTCTTCAAATCCGATTTTTAAATAAAATAAGGACGCATTCTAACTCCCTGGTATTTAAATGGGATTGTTTAACTCCTCATAAAATGAGGCTCGGTGAAGTGAAATCTCCTCCTCTAGTGGAGTACTTTAATATGTGCTTACAACTGCTCTTCAGAGATGCTTAACCTCCTTTGAGCTAGAGGCAGGAGGCTGAAAAGTGCAGCAGAGATGGTCACTGGGTGCTGGCTGGTGTCTGTCTGCCAGCTTTGACTGAAGAAAGCTGAAATGACTCAAGAAAAAGGCTTTTGGTTTCTCAGCCCTTCTTCCAGCGCACTCCTACAGCCAAGCAGTTCAAGCCCTGAACATGTGAGGGCACGCTGCCCCCATGCCTGACCCTGGAAGGGGGAGCAGATGGGCGAGTTGCTTTCAAGGCCCCCATGATCACCAGGAACCAAATTTACAGCCAGGCTCAACCAGATGAGCAGCATCTCAGGGGCTTGCACCACCTTTCCTGGGGGTTATGCTTTGGACACTCAGGTGCTGGTGCTGGGCAAGCTGGCCTGGCTCTCTGGTGTAGCTTGGCACGGCCAAGGAGCTGACCTGATGCATGCTGGTGGTTTGTGCTCACATTGTTTCATCATCCATCCTGCTGCTGGGCACAAGCCGATGAGTTTCCTCTGGTCTCCAAATCCATATGAAGATGTATCTGCGAGACCTGGAACGTGCCAAGATGGGGCAGGGCCCAGCGCCTGACAGATGGAAACTCAAGCATTCTAAGAATGACCTCGAAAGGGTCCTCCAGGTTTGTCCATGACTGAGGACAAACCTGGACATGGGCCATGTGAGGATGGGCACATCGTACCCCTGAGATCCCAGGGAGCTCCTTGCAGTGTCCCCAGGCTTTCATTAACTCTTAGCCCTAAAGTCAGACCACAGAGACTGAGGAGACTGGCCCTTGTCTGCCTCTCCCTCCTTTTGGGCTCGGTTCCAGTTCAGTGCGAGGGAGACGGTGAGGTGCAGTGGGGCTGAAGGCAGGAACAGGGAACTGTGGGATCACTACAGTTAACACCAGCCTTAGCTGGGAGAGAATTTGGAGAGCTTACAGGATTGAAAAGCCACCTGGAGCCAAGCAGTAGGAGACATTTGACACAAGGATGGGAGCAGGACTCCAGCCTCGCATGCACACTACAGACACGATGCTGAGAGCAGGTCAGCCACGCTCTAGTACTCCTCTCCCCAGAGCCCGATGGGGAATGCCATCCTTGGAGGCAGCCGTTGCTCTCTCTTTTCTCCTGACAGCCCATTTTGTCCTGCCCCTCCTCTATTTACTATTTTTTACTATTACATGAGCGTGGATGTTGCGGAAGAACCGTTCCTGGTGGGTGAAACTCCTGGACAAAGCCACGGAGTTTGACCTGGGCGATACCATATCCAAACTGCAGCTCTTCAGGGGCGAATGCCTGTAGCTTAAAAGCCAGGAAACACTTGCCATGGAATGCTTCAAGCAGGCCATCGAACTGGGCACTGTGGGCTCCACTGAGAGCTTGCGGTGCCTCCCAGAGCCACTGCTCGTGCTCTTTGGCCAGAAGAAGCTGAAGATGGAAATGCTGATGCAGGAGGTGGAGCAGCGGGTTAAGAAAGCTGAGGAGAAATTCTGACGGCAGCACCTGCAGCAGGAGCTGAGGGTGGTCTGCCACCATTGCACGCTGGAGGTGATCCAGCTCTCTGAAGCCGCGATCGCCATGGGGAGGATGGCTTTGGTGAGGCTGATGTTTGAGACAACGAAGGTCGATTCTTCCAAGGGCAGGATGAACGAGCGGTCGCTGTCCCTGTGAGTCGTCAGGGTGGCAGCAGGTTCTGCAGAGTGGCCGTCTCTCTCACAAGCTGTCAGGACCTTCTCAGTTTTCTAAAACCTTGTTAATTAAAAAAAGGAGTAGAGAAACCCCTTGCGGTGTTAGCCCTGTA